TGCCACAGGCAGTACTGGACAACCAGACTAAAGGTGCTGTACTAAGCTGCCTATGCATTAGTAAGGGTTAGCATCAGCAAATGCCCCTTGGGAAGGTGCAGACCAGTTGCAAGCTGGTTTCCTATGGTGCTTGCGGACAACCACCATCGTAGGGACGGAGTACTGTTTCAACCGGAACTCCGGGACAGGTAGAGGTCTAACTTTTGTCAGAGTGACCACAGCAGCAAGAGAAAAATATCAAACTCTACTTTGCATGAATTCCTAATTTTAGGAGTTAATTATCATCACTTGGAGTTGTTTAGGACTTTATCTAAACCATCCACTAGGATTGTAGAATAACCAGTTCACTGAGACTGCAGAGTATAAGAGCTTTATTTCTCAATAGATCAAGTGTTAGTTAAGGAGTTGGCTCTAGCAAGTTAGAGAAAGCCAATTGCTAGGGCTTGCCTATATATGTTACTTATCTGATCAACAGTTTGAAATCCTAAATTCTAGAAATTGACGGATTCCCTTAGCAAGTAATAAGCCCTACAAATATTGGTTGGAATAGAAGAAAATCTGCAAAAAATGCTACATGCTTGCTTGAGGACTTCATTTTGGAATCAGGCGTAACCAAAGCTTTTCACGAGAGACCATAACATATTCTCTCCAATGTATTAACTATAATGTTCCAGTAAGGCTTTGTTTTACCATGACAACAAACTATTGGAAAAAAAAGTAACCAGGTATGTCAACTCTGTGAAAGATGCTTGGTAAGAAAGGTGCAATTCTTCAGCTAATTTTCCAAAACAGCGATAGAAGCTCATAGCCTACTTTCATCTGCTTCAACTGAGAACGAAACACCTCTATCCCATTTCAGACTCATTTACTTCTTCGGATGTTCCAATAAGCTATTTTTGTCTATGACAATAGGACCTTAACCAATAAAATTTGGGAATAAACCTGAGAGCTCATCAGAAGATATGAAAACCGATAAATATTCTGACCTTGTGTATGGATTCAAGTTCCTTCAGTGCAGCCTGTGTTTTTGGCACCTTAATAGTCCCGGGTGTAAATATTTCTCGAAGTGGAACAACTCCTTTCGAAGCGTAATTTTGTGCAAACTGGTTCATTACAACTAACTGATCAGATTAATCTCCCATTTGGAACAAGTATATTTAAATGTAATTAGCCCACCTAAAATATTACCTGTGTAAGACCCTGAGATATAATTTCATCACTCATTTCAACGGGACTGCACAAGATAAATAAAATGTATTAAACTTTTGACCAAGGTCACGTGCAATAGACAAAAGTTAAAAAATCTGGCAGATGGAAAGAAAACCAGCAAACTATATTCCTGAAGGTCAAGAGATTCTTTGAATAAATTTAATCTTTTTTCTTTTTGCTAACAGTTTCATCTTTGTTTAAGCAAGAAAGATTTACCTCATACAGAAAAGGTACTTCTCCTGCAACCCGAGGGGCAATTCATCAATTACAGCAGCAACTTTCTGATGTCAATTAAGAGATTAAGCATGTATATTACAGCAGCAATTATATAATCAGAAGTTACAATCATTATCCCTTTAAATTGAATCACTCAGCCCCATGATTTTTTAGAAGTATCAAAATAACACCAAATGTTAACAGCTCTTTCATATCTTAACAATTAAAGGATGATACTTTTTTAATATTTAAATGTAGGTTTACTGTTATACTAATTTACCCACTACAAGCACTCACGGGCATGCCAAACCCCCTTGCCTAAGCTGATCTCTCGTCACTACTATCAGCCACCATTTCAGCCTCTCTCGTCACTCTCTCATTGTGAGGCAACATCAATTTTAGCCAGACAATAGAATGGACAGTAGATATAGTAGAGATATTTTTTATTGGATCTGTAGAAACCATGGGGCTGCAACAGTAGAGAGAGGGATCTTTTCGACCTTCAAGCCCCGCATCTCTGTTTTACTTGTTTGGTTCTCAATGGCCTCAACCTCTTCTACCTCCAGTTTTGGTGCCACCAACACCACATTAACTTCTAGAATCAATATATATCTAAGAAACAAGTACTTGAATAACTTTGGAAGAAAACAACAAGCGACATTGTATACCTAAGAAACAAATATTGGAATCAAAATTAGGAGAAAAAGAACAAACATTTTAGGTGATGCAAGACCAAACACCCAAAAACAATAATGATAAAGCTTATCCCAACAAAGTAAGCTGAACTTGGATATCCTCCCCGAGGAAATCTCAAAGATGGGAGTGGCCGCAAAGCAACGCATGAAATGATATAAAGGTCCGCAAGATCATGTGCACTCAAGAGCATAACGGAAGTAGCAAAGTTCAATGGGTTTGTTACGAAAGGAAGCAAGTACACAAACAAGTCCCCAAATCTTTGGGTGGAGTCTGGGTTGGCACAGTGGCATTGGTGCTCATTAGCCACGCCTCAGATTAAACCAACCATAACTGCCTTTTCCCAAGTTCTTACCATAATTCAATCAACCAATTATAGAATCCTCTTTCTCCATGCTTTTCAGTTCTTGCAATTTAGATTTGGACTTTGATTTGAGGTTGAAGAGTAGAAACTAGAGAGTGGAGCTGACATCGTGGAAGAGGGATCTGTCCGTAGAGAGAGAGAACGAGAGAGAGAGAGAGAGAGGCTGAAATTATGGCCAGCTAGCTACAGTGAGAAGTGGTAGCCAAGAGGATTAAGTGGCTACAATGGGTGTTAGGCAGTGTAAGGGTGGCTATAATGTCTTTTTTCCCTTTTTGATAGAAAAAGAAATAGATTAAGAGGAGAAGGAAAGTACATCAAAGGAGAACTAGAAAAGACTGGCCAGACAGAAAGAGAAGCAGCTCAATGGAGGATAGCTGAGCTCTACGGAAGATGGACAAATATATATATATATATATATATATATACTTATAAGGACCATGCACCTTAGTACATAGAGACACTAAAAAAGTCATCATATCCCAAATAACAAAAAAAGGGTGAGAAGTGACCCTTAGAGATCCTCACGGTTCCCTCCAATTAAAGCACCCACAACCTTGCAAACAAATCCCCTTCTCCAACCAATTTATGCTCCTTTTTACCAACATGACAAAGAGAAGAGACAATAAAATCCTCAAGATTAGGATGAACAGGAAACACCAACAGTGTATAGCTGAGTCCATAGTCTTCGAGAAATATTACAGTTCAGAAAAGAGTTCTGTGACAAGCAACATGATAACACAATGCAGGACAAATCAGAAATTGGCCTGCGAACTTAGAGCAAATTGTAAGTAGTATCTTGCTTTAAAATATTATTCTATTTTTTGATTCTAAACATGAAAGAGCTGTTAATTTTGGTGATATTTAATACTTCCCAAAAAATTGTGAAATAAACAAATTGAAGTAAGTAGCTGGTGATAAGGAGATGTAAATATAAGGAGGGTGTCATGATAATAAAACCATAACAAAATCACAACGATTACATAGAAACTGATGGAAAAAGAAATTCTGCTGCTAGTAACATGTCTTTCCCCATTCTATAAAGAGATGCAAGCAACAGTTTATAAACAATCACTGTCAGATTGAAGGGGGGAAATGAATGATGAAACATACTAGCATTTCTTCACAGTTGGCATGAAATAATTTTCTGACAATTTGGCGTTTTCTACAAATGCTCCTGCAAAGAATTTAAGAGAA